CTACAACCCATGTCTAAGCAAAAGCTTGTCGAGGAGCGAGGGGAAGAAGGGAGATTTCTATGGAAAATGACAATCAATATAGACTATAGAGCGAAGCTCTAGTCTAGGTCTATATTGTCATCTTCCATAGCTGTTGATTCTGGATCAACAGAACAGCATATTGGTGAAATTGGCGAAGCATGCATCTGATTGAAGGCGAGATTGCGCGATGCGCTGCAGCTGGACTACTGCTGAGAGGTGGAGCTTGCTGTGTAGCTTGAATTGAAGGGCCAGCCCGTAGCTACAAGCAGATACCCTGGTCATCCTGTGGGAGTCTGTCGATGTGGAGTTACAGCGGCGAGCAGAAGCTACAGCAGAGCCCACCGCCCGAGGCCAAACCGCCCTGCAACAGTTTGAGGCAGAAATAGCCAATCTGGGGGAATCTACCAACTTGTCTAGCTCCTAGCTGCAGCATCCGATGACGACGACACGAATATGCTCGTGACGCTGCTGATGCGACCTTCATTTTGCGCCGCTTCCTGGAAGAGCCCGCCCCCTACTTACCAAGAAATGGCAATAGGCGTCTGGACCCGAATTGAATTTTTTTCGGCTCTCGCTCTCAATTTCATGCTTCGCTCTCAATTTCACCAATATGTCAGACCGCTGTTACAGCGGTCTGCTGCAGCCGCACACTGCGTGTGGGTGTATAGAAAGATTCAAGCACTTTTATTGCCAACGTTCGTTGTTTGCCTTGGGTGAAGTCTCGTGAGGTTGAATTTGGCGTTTGTGTTGTGTTGTGCCTCGTTTTGACCTTTTGGGAGGCGCGGTGTCCTCTTTGTCGCTGTGCTTCCCCGACATTTTCGGTCTCTGTGTTTCTGCGTAACCTACATTTTTCCTAGTGCCGTTTTACAACCTTCAATACTTCTCAGGTGCGTGCGGTAGCGAGATCTTGGGCAAGATATTCATGTGGAGGACAACGCCTAAAAAATAAAATAAAGCAAATAATTATGCCCATATCANAGCTGCCCTGTCTCTTATACACATCTAGAAGTGTATAAGAGACAGCACTACCGTCGTGTACATGTACGATGCGTAGGTCGTAGAACACCATCGCTTTCAGCGTTTTGGTGGTACAGTACGGGGAAATTCAAACGATGGTGTGCAAGTATGTATTGCAGCACAATAATAGCAGCAGTGATTGCGACCTTCAAACCACCTTGTGTCGTAGGTTTACAACAGCACCTCTTGTGGTCGCCTTTGGGCTGCGAATGCCCACCTTTTGGCATATGTTTCGCCTTCATTGGCCCCGGGGATGGTGCGTTAGTGGCCCCGGAATTCTAAAGACACTTCCCTGCGTCGAAGACACTTTTGGGGGGGGCAAACGTGGTGTTCTTTAAGGCGGGGTCGACTGTACCGGGTACGGAAGTACAACTTCAGCGAACAGAAGCATGAGATTGTTTTGGTGTCGCCCGGAGCTGGGTGCGTCCGCCTGATGTCCATGCTTGCCCGGACCCTCGGTCACGACCGCGTACCCACGGACGTTCATGCGACAGAGACCCAAACAACGGCGCAGCTNCCGTCGTCAGAATTTCGATCAGGATCGATGCGGCCGTGATACAGCTACGCACTGATATATATGCGCGAAAGCAGGGATAACCTGGAATTACTAGGAATTACACTGAAATATCCCCCCTCCCGCAACACTTTCTACATGTTGATTCAATCTCTCCTGACTTCGAATTAGGGTAATTTTGGGGTGGCGATCACAAATATATTGTTGGAATGTCCCAGTTTTGATTTGCAATGGACTTTCAGCTGCTCAAAAGCTGACAGTAGCTGAGCCATTTCAAAATTCCTGGGATTTTGGATTCTCGGTTCCCACGTCGAGTTTTTGTCTGATCAACTTTCTGAGTGACTCTACCCCCTCTAAATCGGCCAAGCGGAATCGATTGCTGAAGAGAAATGGAGGCGCCGAAATCGGCAACGCGGTGAAAAAAAACAATCAAGGCGATCCGATCACCACTTTTTTTGTTTCTCTTTTTTTTACGCTTTTAAACGTCGTTTGAGACAACTAGTCTATCCAAGAACGGTTTTTCATTCGAGTTTTTCCTCGCCGCGGGAGAGACAATTCGTCTTTACCGCGGAACACCCCCTTGGACAGTAGCCTGCTAGAATGTTCGAGGCACATGCGCGTTGCGCAGGTAGTGAGCTGTAGCCAGGGGCGGCTGAAGGGTGGCGACGTCAAGGCAGCCGCACGGCCTGGGCCGCCTGACGACTGGGCGTTGGGGCAGGGGCAGGGAGACGATGTCAAGATATTCAACATACCACCGCCGACGGGCGACCATGGACCGCCACCAGCAGACCAACTCACCCTCAGCAAGATCATCTACTTCTTCCTTCACAGAGGAAACAAGAACTCCTTGAGCAGTGAGCCACCACCATTTACGTGGTGGGTACTCGCTTACGACTACGTCGGGGTCGGCCATGGTAACGAGCGGGTGCCCGATTCCATCACCGGGCATCCGACGTTGTCACTGCGGGGACGGGGCCGTCCTAAGGTGTACCCTGTACACGCCATCAGACGCCAGGTACATATGTACCACCAATGCCCGCAAGGCCAAGATGGAGCAGAGGGGTCGCGGCTTTGTGGGGAAACGAAGGGGGCGGGCAGAGACCGTGTCTGGCGGCTCAAGTTCCGGCTCGCATTACCGGGGTCCAGCAACGGCTACGACAAGTACCTCTTGAACGAGGTACACCACAGCATCAACCAAGACACATTTGTTCGAACGATCGTGGAGTTCTTCGAGGAATGTGAGACTCAGAAGAATATGACAGTACCCTCTGAACAGCAGTTGTTGTTGTTGCTGATGTCGTTGTTGTTGTTCTAGTGGATGCTTGTTGGTTGGTGTGGAGGCCTAACGATGGCCGCCCTTCGGCTTAAGGGTGTACTAGGTGTGCGTCTGGATGTGGTGTTCACAGCTAGCTGCAATGCCGGAGATAATGGGGTGGGGAGGCAGGGCGCAACCCTCATGCGTCGATGCCAACTGTGTTGAGGGTCTCGTACAAGAGTGAAGGTGCAAACCACGGCTTTATATGGAGTTGTCCCCTACTGTACGGTGCGATTCTTGTTTCGGCTGGTGTGCGGCGGCCGGAAGATACAACTAAGCGTTCTTTCTTGTTGTAGCAACCATACCTCAACGCATGGACTGCCGCCATGTCGTAACACGATAGTTAATGTGGAGACATTCAAAAGTACAATAGCATAGCGCATCTAGCACTGCTCTTGGGGGGAGAAAACGCTTGTGTTAGCCTCCGAATTAGAGGGCTTAATTTCGACAGGACTTCGAACATGTTTGCCGGAAGCCCATTTGAGGGCGCGAAAAACTCCGTATGCAGGTGCATGATTCAACTACGATTGGTCATCGTACTGTACCGGCAATAATACGAGTACATCACCAAATTGTTGTCGGTATGGTAGGTAGGGGAGCTTCGTTTTCTGTTGATGAAGCTAATCAGCTTTATTTCCAACATGATGTATCCCTAGCCCATCGATNGGTCATCGTACTGTACCGGCAATAATACGAGTACATCACCAAATTGTTGTCGGTATGGTAGGTAGGGGAGCTTCGTTTTCTGTTGATGAAGCTAATCAGCTTTATTTCCAACATGATGTATCCCTAGCCCATCGATACGACTCCGGGATAACTTTCGCGACGAATTGGTGGTGTACCTCGTGGTGTTAGCGGACACACACTGCTGTCTGTGTGTTTCTACATATTGCAAATAACGACGGGAAAAATAGCTTTGGGAGAAACACAAATAGCTACGTTACTTTTTAAAACTACAAACAATAGGTGTTCCGGCCTAGTGCCGGTCAGATGTACAGTCGAGGGACCTTCATAGTGCCGGTATGTGTCGAGAGATTTCACCGGCACTAAACCGGGCACCGGGCACTATTGCTAATAATGCCAAAACGGCACTATTGAGGGCTAGCCAATCCCTCATTAGTGCCGGTCTGGCACTGATGAGAACGTGTGCGATTTATGGTGTAGCGCTCACGCTTGCGGGGCCAAGTCAGTACTGTAGCACGAAATAGATCGACACTGCTGTCATGTGGAGTTCTAGTGTAGGCCTGGGCAGACTTTCTTTCCCGCGACACGTGCGGTTTCACCCTGTCGAGCCCACAAGAGTTTTGTAAAATAAGATCGCTGCATTTCGGGCTACAGCAGTGCCTCACCAAGACTAGTCGACGGCGAAAGGGAAACACACATCATGCACCCGAGTAGGCTGTGACCGGCACAAACTGCTTGAAAAGCTCTCGTTCGTACAAAGCTAAATTTTACCTTGTGTTGCCCTCCTTCGATGTTGAAAAATGAAAATCAAGAAACTAAACAATTTATGAGCGCACCAAAGAAACAACAAGAAAAGCACACAACTACAGCTGTAACCCCCGCCCTCGCTGCGTCGCGACAAATTCTCTCGTGTCTGCCTGGCGCACCCCCTTCGATGTTGCAACAAAAAACAACACACACAAAAAACAGGCAGCGCACCGCAAGAAAACAACCACTGCTACAGCTGTACCCGCATCCTCACTGCGTCGCGACAAATTCTCTCGTGTCTGCCTGGCGCACCCCCTTCGATGTTGCAACAAAAAACAACACACACAAAAAACAGGCAGCGCACCGCAAGAAAACAACCACTGCTACAGCTGTACCCGCATCCTCACTGCGTCGCGACAAATTCTCTCGTGTCTGCCTGGCGCACCCCCTTCGATGTTGCAACAAAAAACAACACACACAAAAAACAGGCAGCGCACCGCAAGAAAACAACCACTGCTACAGCTGTACCCGCATCCTCACTGCGTCGCGACAAATTCTCTCATGTCCGCCTGGCGCACCCGCGTAGTGGAATGCGCTACTATCATCGCCATCTTCGCTTTCGCTAGATAGACCGCCGCTTCTCCGTTGCCACTCACCTCTGCTGCCGCTTCCAGGACGCCGAAGCAGCTGACACCGGTGGAAGGGGACAATCTAAACGCCCGAAGGTCACGAATGGGGGGAGTAAGAAGTCTCAGCCTTCTCGTAAGGGGCCTCGTGCGCGGCCGGATTTGGACGCCAAGCTTGAGATGCTGAAGTTCATGGATGCCAAGGTCACTCATGAGCAGATAGCGGACCGCTTCGCGTGCTCGGTACGGCTGGTCCGTAGGCTTGTGCTCGGTAGGCGTTTGTTTTTGCTCTGTTTAGGCGTTTAAATGAAAAAACATAGGCGAAGGTTGCACGCTCAAAAAAAGTTTTTTAGGCAACACTATTAGGCTGAGTTTTAGGCGAATAAAAAAAAAATAGGCGGACCTCGGAGACGATAAGCGAACCCCAGAAAAGCATGTTTTACGCGAAATTAATAAAAGGGTTGTGGCGTTGTGGCACTCATTGCACATATCCAAGGGCAAAAGCGCAGCAACAGTAGTGCTGCTGCGTCACAACGCGAGCTAGTGATGCCGCGATACAATCCGTGCATTATGCCGGAAAGGCGGTACTTTTCTTTGGCCAAGTGATCACACACGCACACGTGAGAGAACCACAACAACGTGTATTACTGCGTAGTGGCTAAGTGGTGGGTGGATATAATGTCGGGCCTACGCCGGCAGGCAATCTCCTCGAGGTTGTCTAGCCCGGTAGTAACAATCAAATTAATGCCATGCTCACATGCTGCACCATCGCCATTCACGCCACCTCCACAAAAAACGGAAAGCGAAGGTGCGAACGTGATCACGAGATATGCTCGAGAGCCGAGAGTGTCGATGCAACGTTGTTGTTGTTTCTCACATTAGCTCTATAGTCCACAAAAATGGGGAGCCCGTGGTCTCAAAACCCGGCACATACGACGCCGCGAGAAAATAAAAAAACAAAAGTAGGGTACGAACCACTCGGAAAAAGAAAACAAAATGATAGAAGTAGAAGAGCAGGTATCGCACCGACCGTTCGAGAAAAGAGCCCTCGGAAACCGATCAAAATAAAACAAAACAAAAATAAAGCAGGACGCTTCCCACACCCGCCCAAAGAAAAAATCAAAGGGTAACGTACCAGCACCAGGCACTACGCACCAGGGCATGGGAGTAACGGAGCAAACAAACAGGACAAAGAGGCGGCAGATGGGCAGACAGCCAGACGTACAAAAAACAAAGGCAACAGCGAAGCGAGATCAAGGTACCCAACACAGTAGAGTAGGCAGGGAGGTCATGAAAAAAAACAACACAGCACACAGGCCGAAGGCAATACAAAGGACAAACAAACATCAAGGAGTATATATAGCATACAGCAGGGAGGGAAACAGGGCGCAACAACATCAGCCGGGTACAT